TCCACAGCCTGTCTCCTCTTCCTTTCTCTCCCTCCCCTTGAGACAGAAGAGTTTGAAGCCACTGCTACCAATTGAGAGGTAAGAATTCCAGCACAGTTACCATTTCCTGTGAAGGCTGTCATAGAATCTTCCTTCCATATGCAGGCATGTTTGGTTACCATGACAGTGAATTAGGTTTAAGGCTTGTATGCACATGACCTTGAGTTTGGCCTCATCCCTCTCCCAGATGTACCTTGAAAGTCTCAAACAAGACTGTAACTTTGTTTACAGTGATTCCCCATTTTCCTGCATCTTTACCACCTAGTTTCTTACCTCATCAATTGCAACCTGGCCTGGCCCCTCAGGAGCTACCCCCAGATCTCATTTAGGTTTCTTAGAGACCCTCTGAAGTTACCAGCTTCAAAAACACCCAAATCCTGTGTATTCCCACTGTAAAGGCAATGAAATCCACCTAAATGCATATAAGACTACTGTAAAGGCAATGTAGTGTGACTCTCAAGAGAAGCTCACACCCATGGTGTTGTTGGGTCTGATTTTCTCTCCACTCTCTTCCCTAAAATATGCATCATATTAAAGATGTATGTTAGCAAATCCTAGCTCTGCTTCATGTTGGCTCATCCTGACATTATTTTCCTTGTTTAGGGTACTAATGGTCTGATTTTGCCTGTCCAAGTTGCTAAACGATACATAGAACATCTCAGGCTGCTGGGGATGACAGTGTGGTTCCGTACCTCTGTCTCTGCCTCCACAGACCCTGTAATGCTTTAGATATATGCATGTGTGTATGTATTGGTATTAGCTGGCTGTTTGGGTTCTTTTTTAATACTGGTGCCTTTTAGGTTTTATGGACTTGTCTGTATAGTGTCTCACAACTTTTTTGGGCCATGAAAATCAACCAGTTCCAGGGATGTTGGGAAACCAAATGTTAACACAAAAACAGCTCTCATCCAAAGGGAATAAGAAATAGTTTATTCTGGAACCAAATAGGAGGACCATGGCTCAGAAACATAGATTTAGGTTTTACCTTGGAAGAATCTGCATAAGATCTTATTAGTTACAAAACAACAGAAAGCACCATAAACCAATGCACTTACGAAATTCATTAGTGGGAGCTGCAAGCAGCAGGTTATAGCCAAGTGGGAAAAACTCTCTTGTAAGTTTCAGGTATTGTGATGACATTCTAAGCATTTGGATTTGTGAAAGCTAATGGTCTCTTAAGAATACATTGTAAGGTTTTGATAGTCACAGGATATTAGGTCAGTCATGGGTGTGGATAGCGTGGGCCTTTAAAGGGACTAAAAATATCCCAAGATAACTGGGCTCTGGTCTACAACATTTTAGCGCTCTATAATCTTGAAGATTGGTCATCTGTCCTTGTAGAATCTTTAAAACAGATGCAGCTTCTCTCTCCCCTTCATTTTCTCTTCTCTCTTTTTCTCTCTTTCTCCCTCTATCTCTTGTCTTTTGGGAATGTCAGTTTACACACAATGTCTGAAGCACCATTGCAAACCAATCCATTGGTCTTCATGCCATATGTCGAACATTTTCCATCTATCCATCCATTCATCCATCCATATATGATAAATCTTACCACTGTCCATTAAATTTGGCATGTAGTTTTCTGATAAACATGTGGTATTTTTTCATAGCTTCAACAAAGACTCTTCAGGGAATGGAACTATAGTGTACATGTTAAAATGAATATTTTTTTGTTGTGTTTTGGACCTTGAGTTATTCAGATTTTTAAAAACTCACATTGAAATGGTAATCATTCCTGATGAATGTGAATTGCTGACATAGCATATTTGATCAGTTGTATGCATTTGTTTCTGATACCTGCATAATCATTCCGGATGTTTCTGGGTACAGGTTTTGATGATTTCCTCCTTTTTCTAGTTTAGTTGTTCTGGAATCTTGTAAATAAATATGATCTCATTCATATCTAGTTACTCATACATACATACATACATTATTTTTAGATTTATTTATATATATTTAAATTATGTATATGTGAATGCCCATGTATACATATACATATACATACACACACACACACACACACACACACACACACACACACGCACATGCCATGTGAGTACAGTGCCCAAAGGGGTTAGAAGAGGGCATCATATCCCCTAGAGCTGGAATTACAGGTGGTCATTAGCTGTGTGATGTTTTGGGAACTGAGCTGAGATCCCTTGCAAGAACAGTGTACACTCTTAACCACTGAGCCATCTCTCTCCAATCTCCCCAACCATGTATTCTTACCTATTTCTCCGAAGGTAAAGGAAAAGTACATAGGTAACTTATGTTGTCAGTAAATTTTGTCTCAGTGAGATAAAATGGCTTCAGAAAGGCATTAAACTAGAGGAGGTGCTGGACTTTCTAGGATCTGGAGCACTGCTTTAGAAAGATCAAAAGATCAAAAGAAACAGCAATTGTAATAATGTCCCCTCCACCCCAGTCTTCTTTCTTGGCTTAGACTAACAGCTTGTGTTTTCTCCCTCCATCATGCCTCCCTCTGAGTTTTGAGGGATTTCCTTGAAATGAAAATATGATTCCAGGACTTCATCCACCATCTTCAGGTGTTCTTTGCTTTTCCCTCCCACCCTGTGTGTGTATCGGTTAAAGGTCAGCCTTGGATATTGTTCCTTGGGGGATTTTATTTTTAAGACAAGGTCTCTTACTTTAACTTAGAACTCCCTTTGCTGACAGAGCCATCTCTTAAGCCCCATCTTCAGGTGTTAACACAGGGTCTCCTCCCATATTGAATCATATTGTAATATCATTGGGTGCCATTCTAAATTTATAACTTTTCTTTCCATAAAGTAGGTGTCTCTTCATAAATTCTTCTACATTGGACCATGCAGAAAAAAATGTAGGTCAAGTTTAGCCTTTGGATTGGCTCAGACACTTGTAGTTTCATTGTATCTCTTCTTTACCTCATCTGCTTATTATCCCAGACACATACAATGGGCTGTTGCTAAGAAGTATTCTCCAATCTGTTACCCTTACAACTGTAGCCTCTGGAAGTTTTTTCCTGAGTGTACTCAAGCATAAGTACCCTGTACTGTCCGAGTTATTATATAAAATTTTATGATATTAAATTATGAACTAGTTTTCCAAGAGATATTAAGCTTTTTGAGGTCAGTTTTCATGCCTTCTGACCCTTGAGACCTGTATCTATCAAAAGATGATCATATAGTTGAGGTGTATTAGATGGTTTCAAATGGTAGCAAATGGTAGTATTAATACATTATTTCAGAATAAGGCATTAGTGGCAGTATGTCACAGCTTCTTGGATGTGACTGATAGAGACTAAAAAGGAGGCTAGAGAGATGGCCACACAAGCACGATGACCTGAGTTTGATTTTCAGAACCTATGTAAAAAAGCTACATGCAGTGGTATGTGCTTATAACCCAGTTGTAGAGGCATTGGCAGGAGAATTACCGATGCTCACTGGGTAGCCAGTGTAGCCTACTCAATGAGATGTCTGGCCAGTGAGATGTCTTGTCTCATATTTCATTTCTCTCTGCTCTCGACTGTAGATGTGACAGAAACAGCTTCTGAAAGTTTCAGTCTTGACTTTCCTGCAATGAAGGACTGTGACCTGAAATTGTGAGTTGAAATTAACCCCTTTCTCCTCTAAGTTGTTTTTCATCAGGATATATATGCATATGTATATCTCGACACACACACACACACACAGCTATGCATAACAGATGAAACTAGTCTATAATCTAAGTTCAAGTTTCATCTTCACCACTTGACCTTCAGTGGATTAGCTCACATTTTTGCTTCAGTTTCTTCACCTGGAAAAGATTGATCAGTGGTAGCTCATGGGATACTGTGCGGTGACTCTGAGATATTATATTAGTCATAGTTCACAAATGAAAATTCCTTATCATGGATGTTCCTGCAGAATAGTAAAGAGTTTCAGGCTTTGGGAAGGGGCTCTGTTATTAAGGGCTTGCTTGCTGTGTAAACATTTGAACTGGAGTTCCAATGTCTAGAGCCCATAAAAATTTGAGTGACATGGTGGTTTGCCTGTTATTTAAGGTTAGAAGGCATTAAGGGGGAATCTCTAATGTGAGCGCGACTAGCCATCTTAGTAAACTTTGAGTTTAAAAGGTTTGCCTCAATGAATAAGGTGATGGACAATAATCCCCAACATTACCTTGTAGCCTTCACAATAATATGCACTTCCACACATTCAAAAACTTTCACACATACTTAAGCACACACCATAAACACATAAAACATGGAAAAAGGCAAAAACAAACTAAAACACAAATTTAATTCAAGGGTTGTGATGAAACCATGTCTCCTCACCTTGAAGCAAACAGGAGGTTATTGGCCCTAGCCTGCGGCTCACTACTTTTTTCCATCTTATCTGTCAAGTGAGAAATGGTTTCTTGAGTAAGAAAAGGCTATATTTAACCACCAGCTTTCAACTTTCTTTCTCTGATGAGGTATAGGCATGTTGCCAACCTTTTCCACATCCCCTCAGTTTCATTTCTGATGTGAGCGATTACTCTGTCAAGCATGTTGAGAGCTGGCTAGTCTTTCCTTTCTTCTGTATCCACACAGAATTTCCTCTTATTTTACAAGAATGAAGTGACCTTAATTTGCAGAGGTTTTCATAACTATTTGAGCCCAAGGCTTCTTTAAGCCACCCTCTCTTGCACGGCATAGCCGTTATTTGAGAATTCTGATGGCACATTCTATGTGTTATGACCTCAGTAGTGCAGAATTCTGGCTTAGATTGAGTTTGGAAAATAAGGCACAATGTCACTCTGGGTGTCCTTTAAAGGAAAGTCTCAGTACTGTGTCAGCTTCACTGGTGCTGTGCTCCCACCCTCCCTCCCTCCCTCCTTTCCTCCCTCCCTCCGTCCCTCCCTCCCTCCCTTCCTCCTTCCCTCCCTCCCTCCTTCTCTTCCTCCCCTCCCTCCCTTCCCTCCTTCCCCCTTACTTCTTTTTCATGTGTATGTATGCAGTGTATGTATATGTGACAGATGTGTATGTGGGGGCAGTTGTGTACATAGAGACCAGAGGAGGACACTTGCTAAAGCAAGGTTGGCAGTCAATGAGCCCCAGTGGATTTTCTGCCTCAGCCCCCTACAGAACTGGGATTACAGATGTGCCTGTGGCTGTGTCTGAAATTTCACATAGGTAATGTGATCCAAACTCAGGTTCTAATGTTTACACTGAGTCATCTTCCTAACTTTTCTTTCTTTATTGTTTTGACTTAACGAGAAAATAGTGGGAGGGGGAACCCATTTTTTATGGATTATACATTCCTGTAACAACCCAATGATTAATGGTCTCCTTTGTTAGGAAATATATTTATGTAGCAGCAGACAATGAGAAGATTCCAGCATTTCTAGATCTCTTTACATATGGGCTCCAACATAACATAAGGATATTCTTTTCAAGAGATGCAGAGATTTAAATGGTAAATGCATTGACTATCTTTCAAACCACACTTTTTGGGTGATATATATATATATATACATATATATATATATACAGTGTGTGTGTGTGCGTGTGCACACACGCATGTGCACATGTATGGTGATGTAGGTCTATAGTCACAGTTATTTGAAACCCTGAATCAGGAAGGTTTCAAATTTAAGGACTTCTTGGTCTACAGATTGATTTTAAAAAAGAGCCTGGGCAAATGTTTTAATGAGACTCAGCCTCAAAATATGCCGTCCTTGGTAGCTCTCCAGCTAATCTTTTGAGACAGGCTATCTCAATGTGCCTGATGCTCACTGAATGGGCTAGGCTCTCTGGTTAACAGCCCCAGGCATCCATCTGTCTCCACCTTCCTATTGCTAGGATTACAAGCACATGCCATGATGCCTGGCGTTTTCTCATGGGTTTTGAAGCTCTTAGTCCCTTATGCTTGCATGACTAGTACTGTATTGAATGAGACATTTTATTAGCCCCTAAAGATGGGTTTAGAATGTCTTATTACCTCATCTAGATCGAGCTTGATTTGTAGGTACTATGTGAATATCAACTGTTCCTTCTAAGCCCCAAACCAGACTCCCTCTAGGAATGATTTTCTCATGCTGTGCATTCTCATGGGGATCTAGAAGGAATTTTGATTGGATTTGACTTCTCATAGAAATAACCTCTGGGGGACAATGGCATAAACAGAAGTGAGGAATTATGGGAATTCAGAAGAAGAAAGGAATGTGGCTGGAGATGAGCAGGACAGTTTCGTGGAAGAAGTGTTGTGGTTGTTTTGGTGATAATAAGTACAACTTAAATAGATGAAAATAAAGAGGTGTTCTTCTCAAATACCAGAGCTTACTGTTGTGCCCTGATTCTGAACCCCACACCAAATCACCAAAGACCTGTTCTGATGCAAAAGCAAAGAGTCTTTTATTGTTGTTTAACGAACTAACTGAATTAACTTGAACCCTTCGTCCATCCAACACAGCGGCTGGTGTGAGAAGGACCCAGAGAAACTATGCGGGGATGGGGGAGTGAGGGTGGGGGAGTTGGGGTGGGGGAACTTATTGGGTAGTGTAAGGAGAGTATCTAAGGGTATGCAATAGTCTCAGGATTGGTGCGCTTCCAGGCTTGGGTGACCTGTCCTGTGTTGATTGGTTGGGTTGCTATGGCCTATATAGGTCCTCCCAGGGAGGGTGCTATGCTCTGCATATCATTGTTATGCAAGCCCAGAGCCATAAAGCACATCCAGAGTCCCACCAGATAACTTCTTATTGATGCCTTGCCACGAGACGGGTATCTGACCTCCTAGTGACCAGGGCAGGCCCCGCAAGGTCAGACATGTCCTGAGTCAGAGGTCTAAAATTCTTTTCTGCAGCTTGTCATGGCTGCTAAAGCAGGGGTCTGGGTGACAGTCTGGTCCCTTCATTACAAAGAAGAAGCATAAAGAATGGGTGTTGGTGGCACTGAGGAGATGCCTCAGAGGTTATGGGAATTTGCTGCTCTGGAAGAAGACTTGGGCTCAGTTCTGGTGGATCTGACACCGTCTTCTGGCCTCCACAGATAACTCCAGACACATGTGCATACAGACAAGCAGGTGCACACGCATACACCCTAAAGAGCTGGATATTGGGCAGCATAAACACAGATGAAATTTCGATTTTAATCATGGGACTTCTGTTGTTTTTACTTCAGCACAGTGGCTGCCCCTTAATCTACTGCTGTTTCAGCCAGCAACTGTGCCTCAGCAGTTATCAGCTTGCTTCTCTGACAGTGGCTCAACCACTTAGGCTGCAGTCTGGGTGGAATTCTGCCCCTAAAGGCACAAGGCACTGGTTCTGCCACTGCCCCTAAAGGTAGAGTAGCAACTAGCTCAACTTCTCTTCTTGCTGGCATCTCTCAAAGAGAGCATCCTTCCACTCTGTCCAACAAAAAGCCCGCACCACTCAAGATTTCTCCCTACTACTTCCAGTGCATCTCTCAATCTCTTTTAGATGCTCTCTGATTACTTTGTCAACCAATTGCTAACTCAATCTTCAGACCCAAGGTTAATTTTATTTAATTAATGCAAATGCAAGCTCAGGGTTCAGAGTGTGATTGACTATCCTCCAACAGACTTCTGTTAATTTTAAATACCAACTTGTCACAACCTAGGGTAATCTGGGGAGTGATTCTCAGTTGAGAAATTATCTAGATTAGGTTGGCCTATGGGCATGGCTGTGAGGGGCTATTTTGATTATAAATTGACCCAGTCCATTATGGGTAGTAGTAGCACCACTCCCAGAACTGTATAAGAATGAATAAAGCTAGCTGATTAAGCAAGCAAGCAGCCTTTTTTTTTCTACTCTTTACTGTGAAAAGATTCTTTGGATTTCTGCCTTTGATTTTTCCCTCAATAGTGGATGCTCACCTTGAACTGTAAGCTATGTAAATCCTTTCTTCTCTGAGCTGCTTTTTTGCTAGGCATGTTATAAAAGAAACAGAAATGGAACTAGAACAAGACTTATGGGAATAAGCTTTGCAGAGTTAATCTGGGGTTGCACTAAGGTCTTTGGAGAATAGTGTACTCTAATGGAAAGGAAGGGGTTCAGTATTGTGGCATCTGTATGCCTCAGAATAACAATTTTAAACACCGTTGAGCCTCTGTTTTCTTACTTATAGAGTAGAATAGTAATACTTTGCAAGGTTGTTCTTAGAATAAGAGTGGTAGTAATGTCAACAATAACAGCCACCACTTGTTGAGCCCTGAGGTATATGTGCCTGGGAGGTGCTGGAGCTCAGTAAAAGTGGTCCCTTGCTCCATTACAACCACTTCACTATTTAGACTACCATACTGGAGGGTGAGGAAACTGTAGTACATACTTTGTTGTTTGATGTCACTGAAATTTAGGGTCTGTTTATGACTGTCTGATGCATCAGGTATAGTGTGCCAAAACAGGTGGAGAACTTAGCCAAGATTTGACTTGAAAGAGATCACAAGCTTCTCATCTAGTTTCATGTGACCCTGGTAACTTGAACACTGTCCTAGCTACAAATAATTGCCAACTTGACACAGCCTAGATTCTCCTGAGAAGAAGATCCCAGTTGAGGAATGTCCTGGATTGCCTTGATTGTTAATTAATTGAGGAGGGCCAAGGCTACTGTGGGCGGTACTATTCCCTGGACAGATAATGTGGCAAGAGTTTCTCTATATCCAAGCATCCACTCCCAAATAATCATTCAGAGAGTTATTATTTATAAATGTTCAGTCTATAGCTCAGGCTTGTTACTATTCCACTCTTACATTTTAAATTAACCCACATCCTTAGATTCGCAGACAAATGGATGACACTAGAAGAAACCATTCTGAGTGAGGTAACCCAGTCACAAAAAGAGAAACATGGCATGTACTCTCTCATATATGGATTTTAGACATAGATCTGGGGAGTGCCAGCCTACAATCCCATGGCCAGAGAGTCTGGGAAACAGAAACTTCATTCAGTGGCTGATTGAAGAAGAGGCAGACTCCCACGGCTAAACACTGAGCTGAACTCAAGAAATCCAGTGACAGAGAGGGAGGACTGATGACTAAAGGGATTAAGACTGGGCTGGTTTAACCCCCAGAAACAGCTGACCAGACAAAGGTTAACTCTTGAATCCCAGGCATCAGCCTGGGAATCCAGCATGGGACTGATCAAGACCCCCTGAATGTAGGTGTCAGTGAGGAGGCCTAGGTAATCTATTGAGCCTTGGGCAGCTCAGTGCTCATCCTGAGTATACACACGGACTTTGGACTCCCATCCAACAATGTCAGGTGCACTCTCACCCTGAACTCTTGGGGAAGGGTCTAGGCCCTGCCCTATATGAAATGACAGACTATGGACACCCCCACGGAGGACCTCACCCTCCCTGGGGAAATGAGGGGATAATGGGGAGGGGTTGGGGGAAGGGCACGGGAGGAGGGAAGGGAAAGGGAGAGGGACCTGGAACTGACTTGTGAAGCAACCTTGTTTCTTATCTAAATTTAAACTGAAAAAAAAAATAAATTAATGTATGGAAAAAAATTAACCCACATTTCTTATCTACCTCTGCCGTTTGGTGGTATCTTCCTTCAATACAGCATGCTCAACTTGTTTCTCTTTGCATCTGCTCAAGACTCTTCAGACCCTTCTTGCCAGAATTTTCTCTGCCCCCCCAAATCCTGCCTAGCTAATAGTCAATCAGCATTTTTACTATCAATGAGAGCAACACATTTTTACAGTATAAAGACAGACTTTTTGAGAAGCAAGGAAATTTGAAAGACTTTCCTATTGTGTCTTGGCAAAATTTGTCAGTTACTTTTTTATTTCTACTGGTCCAGTTAACAATTGAGGCACAGGCAGTTTTTTCCCCCAAATGGCTAGCTTTTGCCATGAAGGAAGCAAACTCCATATGAAGGTTCCTCGATGTCCATCATCTTCTTTTGAAGTAAATTGGTGCTGTCAGAAGCAGATGTGTCTTATTGTCATGAAAAGCCTTAGGTCATTAAACATATTAAATGTCACTTTCTGTATGTCTTTGAAGTCTTTGAAGACCATCTGTCTACCTAAATATATCTGTGTATGACTTTGAAAATATACCTAACATGACTACAAATTTGACTATTTTAAAAAGTTTGACTATTAATTATACATTGCATGTTTAAATGAGTTGAAACATACATACAGCATAACAAAATTGCCTTTAAATGTGTACCAATAAATCAAAACCCATACCAATGTAAAATATTTTAAAATTATTAGTTGTTTTTGGATTGAAGTAGATTCAATAATCTACCCTTTCACCCCATCACTCTATACCATTTGGGCTGTGAAAGAACACCGCTTAAGCATGAGTCTATGAATGAACCAGAGAAAGAGTCAGCAAGCAGTGTTTATTCATGGTTTCTGTTTCAGAGTCCTGTCTTGAGTTCCTTCCCTGACTTCCCTCAGTGGTGGAAGCCAGTGCTATTGTGGTTGCATGTGAAATGTTCCCCACAGGTTTGCATGTTTGAACACTTGGTCTCCAGTCTGTGGCACTATTTGGAAAGGCTGAGGGACCTTTAAGAGGTGGGTCATTAGGGTCATGCATAGGTTTTATATAGCCCAACCCCATACTCCCCTCTCTGCTTCTGATTGTGAATGCAATGTGACCAGCCATTCTCTCCTGCCTACTATAGTGCCTTCCCTGGCAAGACTGGAAGCCAAGCTGTAAGTGGGAATGAACCTTTCCCCTCTTAAAGTGATTCCCGTCAGGCATTTTGTCACAGCCACAAGAAACGTACCTGCTATGTGGAGCTTATCTATCAGTTTCTTCCCTTCTACTTATAAATTCTATCTTTGGGCTTCTTTCTAGAGCACCAAGTCTGTATCTTAAGCAATTCCCCCTTTCTCTTTTCATATTGACTTCAAAATCCACTAGTTTTTACTACTTTTCCTTATGCATATGATGTGTTTTAATTTTAAAATGCTGTGAAGAGAACTCACATCACACAACAGGACTCACATAGGTTTATTGAAAGAGAAGAGAGAAGGGGCAGAGAGGAGGGCAGAGACTGATCCCTGAGGACGAGAATAAAGGGAGAGAAACAGAGTGAGGGAGAGAGGAGAAGAGAGAGGAAGACAGACAGACAGACAGACAGACACACACACACACACACACACAGAGAGAGAGAGAGAGAGAGAGAGAGAGAGAGAGAGAGAGAGAGACCTTTTAAAGGGGAATGTAGTGTATGTACACAGGAGGGGCTCTTAGTGGTTGAAGCTGAGGGCATATTCTGTCAGATCCCCAAGGGCAGGTCAGTAGAGGTGTCCAAATACCAACATGATGTATATTTGTAGTCTGTTTCTTTTTAAAAAATATTAATTTACCAATTGGTCTGTCTATAAAAGAACAACTGAACTTGAGTCCCACCTTTTCTGGAAGGATGAGGATTCTCCCCAATCAAATAATTACAGCAGCATCTCTGGATGCTCCAATAATAGGCAGATTCTGGCTAAGTCCCTTCATCCTGCAGCCTGTTTACTCTTCACATGTCAAGCATGCACTGTGATTACCCTCACTTTGTAGATTTTAGAGGAACCAAGACAGACAACAGATAGCTCAGTTATGAAGATGGGAACTGGGATGTAAACCCAGGACTTACAATTAGAGAGCTCCTCAATGACTCCATTATGTAAGATTCAGCTAGTATTTCCCCCAAAATCTTTAAGTGTTTTCCCCACCCTTCCTGGAGATAATCTACCAGCCATCCTTCAACATGATCAGGTATAACTCAAATCTTATTTTATGTATATTTTTAGAGGAGTAGTCTCCTGTTCAAGGCTGGCCTTGAGCTCATTATGTCACCAAGGATGACTTGAACTTCGGATCCTCCTGCTGCCACCTCTCCTGTACTAGGATTACAGGTATGTATTACCACACTTTCTGCTGGGGATGGAATCCAGGGCTCTGTGCACACTACGCAAGTGCTCTACCAATTCAGTTAACATCCAGGGCATTTACAAAGTTTCAGAGAAGTCATAATCTAATTGAAGCACTCTGAGACGTTAGTATATTGAATAATTGAGTTCAAATACAGTGGTGAGTACTTAAGGGTCTATTGTGGCTGAAGCGTGATAGCACTGTGAAAGGGGGGCCCAGTGTGGCTTTGGGCTTTAAGTGAGCAGTCACTGCTTTGTTTCCTTGATCTTGGCCTTAAAGAATGGTTGGAGATTGGACGGTACAGAAAGAGAGGGCTGGTTGGCATGCAGCCAAGATTGATAAGTGGATAATGCCAGTAGTTTTTGTTTAGAAAACTTGACAATCCTTAACTTCCTCAGCATGCAAATTTTCTCGTGGGAGCAATTTCTTTGAAGTCACCCTTCACCATCTTAAAGTAAATACCAACAAGACTCCAAGATTATAGATCCAGAAATTACAGAAACACAGCTCAGATCAACAAAGCTGTTACGGAAAGCATTCTTCACCGAAGGGCAAGAGCTTTCCTTACAAGCTGGGGGCCGAAGCATCATTTATAGCCTAACTCACTTGCGAGTTGCTGGGAAATCCTGCAAGTATAACCTCAATTCTCCTTTGCCTTGACCTCTGCCAGTGCTTCAGACTGTATTTGCTCATAAAGGTGACTTTCTTCTTAAAGAACAGATTGATTAAATTTTTGTTCTTCAAAAATTCTTACTGTGTAAGTCAAATCTTCAAGCTTCCAGGGCTCTGTTTTCTCCTTCTGGGGTGAACAAACTATCTTTCATATAGTGCCTTTTTGTTTCTGTGAGAAAATATCTTTAAAAAGAACTTAAGGAAGGAAGGAAAGGTTTACTTTGGACCACAGTTTTAGGGTACAGTCCATCATGGTTGGGAAGGCATAGCAGTAAGAGAGTGAGATGTCTCTCTTCTCCTTTTTAAATGTGGGGCATATGTGTGTGCATGAGCATGTGTGCACACAGGTATATAGGTGTGGGAGACAGAGAGAGAGAGACAGAGACAGAAAGACAGACAAGGACCGACAGAGGGTGAGAAGGAGGGACATAGACATCAATGTTGAATGTTTTCTCCAGATACTCCCCACTTTACTTTTGGAGACAGAGTCTCCCACTAAATTGGGGACTCACTGCCCACTGATTTGGCTAGTCCGGCTTGTCAGTGGACTCCAAGGTTCTCCTCATATCAGTCCTGGGGTTGCAGATTTTTTTACATGCTTACAGGGGTTCCAGACTTAGATCTTCATGCTTGCTCACTAGTACTTTGACAATTGAGCCATTTCCTCAGTCCATTTGTTGTGAGCTTTCTATGTATTCTGAAATGGTGCTGCCCACACTCACAGTAGATTCTTCTATCTTTGTACTCGTGGTAGATGCTACTGCTGTCATGGTTGTCTATACAGAACTTCAATGTCTGAAACTACAAAAGTAACTTCATAGGATTGTGGCATGTTCAGTGTTATCCAACATATATGACTTCTGAAGGCAATTTCCCTTCACAACAGAGCTAAGAAATGAATTTCTTGTTCAAACTGTGACTAATGCTACATTTTAATTGTTTTATTTTTTGGTATAACTTTAACCTAGCCACATGTGTGTGCACATGCACATATGTGCATGTATGCATGTGTAGTGTGAGCCACAAAAATTGAAATATGACAATTACTTTTTTCTTAGTTTTTAAAATGTATTTTTATTTTTTAAAACTACGTTTAATGTATGTTACTCTGTGTGTGTGTTTGTGTGTTTATGTGCATAAGTCAGGACAACTTGTGAGAATTGGATTTTTCCTTCTACTGTGTGGGTTCCAAAAATTGAACTCAGACTGTCAGCCTTGGCTTCAAGCACCTTTACCCATTAGGTCATTTTGACAACTAATTAGTTTAAATTAACTTTTTGACCATTTCATACATACATGCAATATGCTGTGTTCACATTTACCTGCTCCCCCTGCTCCTGCCCTCTCCGGTCCTCTCACACTCATTCCAGCCTTCTTTGTTTTCCAAGTTTTACTCCTTGTCATATTCTCTCATATAATGTGAGAGTATGAAAAGGTCAGTGTGATGGTCTTTGTGATGGTCAGCTTTAATTGTCAGCTTGACACAACCTAGAATCATCTGGGGAGAAATTCTCTGTGATGGACTATGGACATTGTGTTGGCCAGTGGGAGATTATATTGTTAATTGACGTCCAGCCCACTGTGGGAAGCACCACTCCCTAGACAATGGGTGTAACAGCTCTACAGCTCTGAGAGGAAAGGAAGCCTGGCAGCTGGGAGCCAAGGAACACCACCAAGTCATACCATAGAACAAACCTCACACAAGAGGTTTATTGGGAAAGACACAAGAGGGTGACTGCCTCTGCTTGGGAGAGAAGCAGCAAAGAACAGAGAAGGAGGCAGACCTTATATAGGGTTTCTCGGAGGGTGTGGTGTGTGTATGCAGAGCTTTCCAATGTGTCCTGGGATCTGTGGGATTCTGTGACCTGATCCTGGGCTTATTTTCTCTCTAGGGCAGAGCTTGGCTGCCTGTATATTAAGGCCATTAAGGTTGTTAGAGTAGTCTTGGGCATGGGGACTGGTGGTTGAAGGTCTTCAGGGATGGGGCCTTGCCACTTACTCAAGTGCCTCAAGGGGCTTATAGTGAGTCCTGAACTGCTTGAGTACAAGCAAGTAAGTGATCATCTCTGCATTCTGTTATCTCTGTTCTTTACTAGCTGTTTGAAGTTCCTGCTTTTCAGTCTCTACAATGATAGAGCCTGTGACTGAAATAAACCACCTTCTTCCGTATGTTGTTGGGTTTTTTTTGTCATGGTGTCTTGGCATAACAACAGAAAGGAAACTAGGACAGGCACATAGTCTAGTTGGGAGGACAAAACATACCCTTATCAAACAGCGTGAAATTCAACCTTGCTTTGTGCATGGTGGAGGGTCTTATGCTTCATCTTGGCTGTCCTAGGAATACTGGAGGAACATTGTTTCCAGGATGAGATAAAATAAGTGGATTCTCTAGGGATTGTTGTTTCACAACAGTTTCCTTTGCCAACCCAAAAGCAGCTTGAACAAAACAGTGGACAGAGGAAGTAGAAATACACACATGCATGAACACACACACACACACACACACACACACACACACACACACACACACACCACCACCACCACCACCACACCACACCTCTTTTCTGCCTGTAGGCATGAGTTGGGGCAGCTCAGCCCATCTGTTCCCACATTGGGATTCCCATTACCATTTGCTTTAGCACTTACATCTTTGGACTGAGACTGAATTACATGATGGGTCTTCTGGATTTCCCCATTGTCAGTGATGAGACTTTATAGTTTCCATAACCTCACAGGTTAATTTCTTGTAATAAAGAACATATAGGAAACACACACACACACACACACACACACACACACACACACACACACACACCAATGATTAGTGAAAATAGACACCATGAAAGAGAGAAAGGAGGAATATATATATATATATCTATATATGAGTGTTTGGAGTGAGGAAATGGGGAGGGAGCAGTGAAATAATTATATTATAATCTCAAAACATAAAAGAAATAACTTTAAAAGAATGATAAGTAGAAAGGTACAGAGTAATTATAATTGTCCCAGAAATACAAAAATTGTTATAAAATTGAGTGAGTGAGTGAATGAACAAATGAATGGCCATGAAGGCCCTTCATGCTGAGAAAGTGTGACTCAGGTACAAGAAGACTCGGTTACAAGGAATGTATAGGGTGAGGAACTGGACAGAGTAAGAATGTCAGAACTCCTGCTGCTTAGAGTTTTCAATCGCCTTCCATGTCTTCATACACTTTCTGTCTGTCTGTTTGTTTAGAGACAGGTTTTTATAAAGCCCAGGCTAGAGTCCATGATCTCTGCCTCCCATGTCCTAAGACTGCAGAGGGGCACCACGCCTACTTTACGTGAGTACTGAAGATCTGAAGCCTGGCCCTTATATTTACATGGCAAGTTCTCTCAGCACTGAGTCATTTTCCAAGACCCCACAAAGTACACCATTTTTAGTGACCAATTTTGTTGTGTTTTGACAAATGCATAGTAAGACACACCAAAATCAAGATAAAGAATTTTTTGTGACTCTTGTCCCTTTATGCCCACATATGAGTGCTCTGCCCTAGGGAATTGCTAATGTTTGCTGTCATTGTAAATTAATCTGCATATTTTATCATTTCACACAAATGGGATCACACACTCTGTGTTCTTCTATGTCTGGCTTCGCGTTGGAATGCTGAATAAGTTCTTGGGTTTGCAGACTGCACATGCATCCCCTGAAAGTAATTTAAGGATGTAAACATTTTGATTTATAGCATTTAGCCCAGAGATTTAAGTATGATTGATATTTATTATATAGGTTGTACTGAAATGACTTTTACTATCTAATAGTGCATATTCAAAATCTGAGGCTGTGAAGACTAGTGGTTTTGTAGAGAGCAAGACAGGTACAGCCTGTCACAGGCTTGCATCATGTGAGGGTAAAATCAGAGTCAAATATTTTAGAATAGCTGGGAGAGGGCTTAGCATGGTGGCTGATAGGAGGTCAGGGTTTGTGTGTGGGAAGTGGAGGGGTCCCTTAAGGTTACTGGAGGCTACCTAGACCTTTGTAGGCTATAAGACAGGATAGGTTTGAGCCAACTTTTGCTTTTTATGTTTCTGTATCCAACTGATAAAGTGCTTCTGTTCTTAGTGTTGGAAATCTGGGGTCATTGCAAACCTCGGGAGAAGGTGTCATAGGATGCCTGCAACTGCATTTTGATAAAATGGTGTGCAATACCTGCTTTATGATATTGAAATGAAGTCTGGTTTTTAGTCACATCCCAGGGTCATGCCTACTGCTAAATTTGATTCACCCATTTGCTTGTATTCATCTTTTATCATGACACTAACCTTAAAGAATAACTTTGTTTTTAATCTGTGATGTCCCTTGTTAGATGTGAGTATATTTTATGCTTCTTATTAAATGGTGACAGTTATTTCTGAAGGTAGATATTGTATAGGTTTACTTCCAGGGGAATAAAAAGTGAGAGGAGTTGGTGGGAGAAATAAGCCTTTTGTTTTATGATGCTCCGGGAACTGATTGTGGGCATAAAAGAATAAAACAACTCATACATCCACCAGAGCTTATTGTATTATCAGGTGATACACCTGCCTCTCTGATAAATAGGACTCAGTAGAACAGTTAATAAGAGCACAAGAGTTATTTGGCATAGAAGCACAATGGCATAAAGCCACTCAGAGGCAGTCTACAGTGGTTTTCTTTGTCATAAGAAAAACCAGAGACAGTGAAAAGTGATACTTGTCTCCTCTTCGGAACTGAGGTAGGATACATGTTCCATAGAGGGTCCCTCAGTCTCAGGAACTTCAGAATACTCCTGGAAACACACAGAAATAGAGATAACACTTTGAGTGGTGTGTGTGTGTGTGTGTGTGTGTGTGTGTGTGTGTAGTTGCATGTGTGTGTGTGTGGGTATATCTATGGTGAGCTGCAGGTAGATATTCAAAGATCAGGTGTATGTAGGATCTCCTTCTTGATTGCTTTTGATCGTATTCTTTTAAAATGGCTATCTTTAGATGTGTATGTATGTGTGTATGCCTGCCTAGCTGTGTGT